TTGTCTTATTTTCTTTTTACCATTCAAGAACCTGTAAAAGATAGATCTCTGAAATTGAACTTTCGATGGCCGTTGATAAACCCATTTTACAAACAGAACAAGATCAGCTGAACCCATTTTCTTGTTGTTAGGACTATTTTTTTTTTTTTTTTGGCTTTTGGGATTTTGTTGTTTTAATGGAAGGAGTAGCTGTGAAGATCAAGAAGAGAGAGGGGTCTGAGTCAACGAGTAGTGACTCTGTCACTGAGTCAAGAAGCAACAGCAGTTGCACAAGCTCTGATAGCAAATCAAGTTCTCGTAATTCTTCGGCTCCTTTGGGTTGGCCTATAAGAAAGGCCCAGCTGACTACCGATTGTTCGAAAAATGACGTCTCCGAAGAAAAAGGAGAATCCCATTTGAATGCTGTTGATGAAAATTCCAATTTAAAGAAGCAGGGTTCAAAACTGTCTGGTAAATTTCTTTTCTTTTATTGAGGTATTTGAATCTCTGCTTTCGTTGGTCAAATGATTTAACTTCTAGCCCATCGGCAAACAAATTTGGGTATCTGTACCCCTTGTACCCCCATGGAAAAGAGGAAATGGAAAGAAATGAAATGCAATTTAGTGGTTAATTTGTTGATCGTTTGCCTAAAATTACCCTTCTGAGTTGAGTCTCTGATGGAATTGAATAGAAATGGAGATGATGAAAGAGAGGTTTGCAAAATTGTTGCTTGGTGAGGACATGTCTGGAAGTGGTAAAGGGGTTAGCTCAGCATTGGCGATTTCGAATGCCATCACCAATCTATCCGGTATAATTCACTCCTGCACTTTATCCAGCTTTATAAATAGCTTTAATCTTTATCCTTAGACGAGACTCTTTTGATTTTCGACTTGAATGAGTCTATGTTTTGGTCAAGTTGATTAAGATTATTCCAACTTTTTATTTTTTGTTATTCTAAGGTTTACAATTAATTTTCTGGGGTTGTGTGCTATGATTTAATGACTTCATTTGAAACCTTATTGTATAGCCACTATATTTGGACAATTGTGGAGGTTGGAACCATTGCCGTCTGCAAAGAAATCAATGTGGAGAAGAGAGATGGAATGGCTTCTCTGTGTAAGTGATCACATAGTTGAACTGAAACCATCGTGGCAAACATTTCCTGATGGCAGTAAGCTTGAGGTAGTTTTCATGTCTTCAAAATCCACTACGAATAGAATGTTTCAAAAAATCTTTGCTTCATGTATTCATGTTATTGTTGTCTTCACTGGAGGTATGCTTCATTTGAAGGGTTTAAAAATCAAGGCTTTATGTCTAATTGTTGCACACTTCCTAAGTTCATTTCACTTTCACCCTTGATTTTGATCCTTTATCCTAAGTTTACTTCACTTTCACCATTGAATTTGATCCTTGACTCTCTAATTCATCCCCTATTATTATGGAACTTGCATTGAAATATGTGCATAGAACTGGTTTAAAGAATAGTGATAATGAACTTGATTTATATATAACTAAAATTATTATCTAATGTCTAAGAAAATCATAATTTCCTCATCTCTCTCTTCAGGTGATGACTTGCCGTTCAAGATCAGATCTATTTATTAATCTCCCAGCTCTTCGCAAACTAGACAACTTATTACTCGTGAGTGTCAAATTTGTGTGCTTTTTAGCACTTCTTTTCTAGTCTGAATCTCCCACTAATGCGGTATATTCTGATCTTCCAGGAAATCCTAGATGGTTTTACTCATACAGAATTTTGGTATGTTGACCAAGGCATAATAGCACCAGAGGCTGATGGATCAGCCTCAATTCACAAATCCATTCAGAGGCAGGAGGACAAATGGTGGCTACCTGTACCACGTGTCCCTTCCGACGGTCTTCCTGAGAACACAAGAAAGCAATTAAACCACAAGCGTGAATGCACAAGTCAGATTCTTAAAGCTGCTATGGCTATTAACAGCATTGCCTTGGCAGATATGGAAGTTCCAGAATCATATTTAGAAACTCTTCCAAAGGTTTGACATCCTCGAATTTAGGCTTTCTGTTTTCATATTTTTCACTATATTGATGATTGTGCTTCAAATGCAGTTACGGCTACCAGTTCTGTATTGCTACTATGTTGCTATTCCTACAAAAAGCTCTTAGTTACAATGCTTTTGGCTTCAAGTTTTTTTGTGTGTAGTGCTTTTAAGTTCTTCATTAATTAAAAATACAAACTCGTTCCTGCCACTTTTTCCTTTATATCTTACGATCAGGACCGTTTCTAAAAGCAAGATTAAATCTGTCAAGGCATATACTGAAGCTGTAATAAATCATATGAAGTCTTTGGCAATATTCGTACTTTGCTATCCTTCGACAGAAATAGGAATTGCCAGAATTCACGTCATTTTTAGTCCACTATGTATCACAATATGATGTTAATTTACACCATAAATTCTCTTTGGCAATATTCGTACTTTGCTTTTTTTTTTGACAGAAATAGGATTTGCAAGAATTCACGTTATTTTTAGTCCTATATGTAACACGACATGATGTTAATTTACACCATAAATGCTCTTTTTAAATTTTAGAATGGGAGAGCCTGCTTAGGGGATGTCATCTATCGGTACATCACTTCAGAACATTTCTCATCAGAGTGCTTGCTTGATTGCCTTGATCTATCGTCTGAACATGTTGCTTTAGAGATAGCGAACCGCGTTGAGGCATCAATATATGTATGGCGTAGAAGGCTTCACCAGAGACCCCCTGCTAATCCAAACCGTTCTACCGCCAAATCTTCTTGGGAGATGGTCAAGGATCTTATGGTAGATGGAGATAAGAGGGAATTGCTTGCAGAAAGAGCTGAAAGTCTCCTGCTATGCTTGAAGCAACGGTTCCCAGGCTTAACACAAACGACATTGGACGCAAGCAAAATGCAGTGCAACAAGGTAATATACCACTACCGACTTCTACTGAATATCCTATTCATTTAAATGCCTTCTTTTACCGTATATTATCAATAAAATGATTGACGACTTTGAAAACTCTCTAGGATGTTGGGAAGTCCATTTTGGAGAGCTACTCAAGGGTCTTGGAAAGTCTGGCGTTCAATATTGTGGCACGTATTGATGATCTACTTTACGTGGATGACCTGACCAAGTCTGATAAACTCTCATCAGTACCTAAAGTCAGTGTAATAGCTCACAAAAGGGCCTCAAATCTGTATTCGGTGCCAGTCTCGGGCACCCCCTACAGATCAGCATTTGCCACACCTAGCTTTTCCCCTGCGCCACTGATAAGCCCTGCAAAAGGGGAGAGAACTCCATTTCTCAGTGGAAATTGTAACAGACCTCCACGTCGTGGCTTAGGGGTTAAAAGAGTCTTGACTAATTATCTTGGAGGTGATGCAAAGGTGAAAAGTTCTGTCAGTATTCTTGAAGGCACGGGTTCTACTTCTAACAGATGTAATGAAGGGACATCTTGTTTGAGCATCGAAGGGAAGGAACCATATTCCACACAAAGGGAGTCTAGATCACATCGCATAGAGCGGTAAAATCCTTAGCCTTATATAAGTTAACTCTAGGTTTCATTTTGGTGGAAAGGGAGAAAATCACAAAAGAAAATTGGTTCCTTACAGAGAAGTCGTCCAAAAAAATCTGTATTTCATGGATTACATACACGTTCCTTGATGTATTATTGAGCCATTGTTGTATTTTCTTGATTGTTTTATGGAATGCCAATTTGTTTAGGACAACATCATATAGATCCAACCTGTTGCATGTAAATATTGGCAAAGCAGATTTCTTTCATTAATTAAGATTCTGAGTGGCCATTTCTATCTTGATTTCGAGTGATTACGCCAATTTAGTTAAATTTAGCCACTTACAGGGCGACCTTCCCTGTTGAGAGAAGGGAAGGGATATAAAACAGACTTCCAAACCATTGTAAAGCATTACTCATTTCCCCATGGTGGCATGGGTGCGTTCATCACATGTTTCAGAATCAGAATGGGTAATGCTGTCTAGTTTAGTGATGCTTAGCACTAGTCTAGGGTGTAGTGAGAGCCTACCTTTAATTATCCAATAAAGTTGGGATGCATTTTGATTCATAAGACAATTAAAGATATACTTCATTCGCTCTCTAAAGCGGTGCTAAATAGCATTATTCATGTAGAATATATCAAAGGTTTTCTGATCGCATTAGCTTTGACTTTCTTAGCGTTGTGTCGCGATTTAAGACACGGACAGTGGCATGTTATAGCCTGACTTGTTGCAGGGCCAGCCTCCCCTTACTGGGCTTGACTATTGTAGACTTTTGCTTGCCTGGGATTTGCCGGACGGGGCCTATTTTCAAAAAGAAAAACAACTGTAGAAGAGAACCGAAAAAGTTGGTAGCTCTTGCACTGCCTAGCATGGGTTGTGCGAAATACATTATTTTTTAGACATGAACACGCCTAGCAAATTTACGAGTGCAAACCCAGCTTGTGCTGGCGCATCACGACTGGGTCTACATTTCTAGGTTGACTTCGATATGTAATAAACCCAAAACGGCTCTGTTAAAGCAACACGGCAGGATCAAAAGATTTAAGATTGTGACATGATCAAAGTAACTAATAGACGTATGGGATTGAAATGGAGATATCACACCCAATTATACCTTAATCTTAAGTTAACATGTGTCAAAACTCAGAATTTTTTTATTATCCATTTCTTTTTAGTTGGGTAGTCAGCACGCACTACTAATTAAGTAATTATAGGAAATTGTTGTTGGGGGTTGGTGAGATGACGATTCTAAATTCTGATTGCATATAAAGATAAAACAAAGTTTGCACGCGTAGTAGAATTTCATCCTCCACAGCTTGCCACATCCCTGCAATTGAACTTTTGCTTAGTGCAGCAATAAAAAATTGGAGTCTCCATTTATGCTTTCTCCATTACAAGTTTGTAATGGATTTCGAGTCAGCTCCCGACTCCTGTTAAGCTCCACGATCAATATAAAACCCAACGAAGTTTCTGCATCTTAAGTGGAGAATCAAAACGAAAATGGAAATGAAGAAGTTGTTTTACATCGTGGGAGTCCTCACTGTTCTGGTAATTGTCAGCTTCAATGGAGCATATGGAGATGGTGAATGCGGGAAAGCAAACCCCAACATGGAAGCTTTGAAACTTATTCCATGTTCATCTGCAGCGCAGGATGCGAATGCTCCTGTTTCCAGCAAATGCTGCGCTCAGGTGAAGATTTTGGGACGGAACCCCAAATGCCTTTGCGCTGTTATGCTCTCTGATACTGCTAAAAGTTCTGGTGCCAACCCAGAAATTGCCATAACAATTCCCAAACGATGCAACCTTGCTGATCGCCCCGTGGGTTATAAGTGTGGGGGTAAGTCATTTATAGCATGTTTATTAAGATCTTGTCCACTGTACTGTTCTATTGCGCAACTAAACACGTATTCAGTTCTTTCTGCTGCTCTGTTCCATTGTTTGACATAGTTCTTCCTTTTTTTGCAGCGTATACACTGCCTTGAAGTCCCGACTGAAGATTGCTAGCCATGTATCCGTGCAGTCTCACATGTCAAATATGTAATAACATGAAAAATGTAATATCCTATCCAGTGTTCTAATAAATAGTGAACATCTTGTTCTGCTTTTTGAATTTCAAATTGGACATTATGCTTGCCATTTTCAACCCGGCATCTACAAGACGGTTGCTTGTACGGAACACACTCAACTCGACGACCTCATGAAATGTTTTCTGTAACTATTTCTGATTGTCGTGAAAAAAAGCAACCAAGCACATCAAATGTTGTCAGGAAAGACAAAACTAACATAACAAACATGCACTAAGAGTACGTTTGGTACGCATTATAGAAGATATCTGGACGGAGATGTTGATACTCTCCATAGCTAAGAGTACATTTGGTACGCATTAGAGAAGAGATCTGGACGGAGATGTTGATACTCTCTATAGCTACCCGTCTTTGGATCAACTTAAGAACATTAAAGATTAATTATTGCAACTGAAAAAAAAAAAAGAATTTCTGCTTTATGTTGGGCATATAAAGGCAGTGCAGTTAGGATTGTATGCAAAAAGAACATAGAGAAGTCAAGGATTGATCATTTCATGTACAAAACTCGCCAAATTCATTTACAGAAACAAGACAGACAAAATGGTAAAAAAAAGGAAGTAAAATGTTGCAATGTTCACACTGTCCACAGGTTATTCCTTGATGTAGAAGTTAAAGAGTCTCATAGCCCTGCAAAATTAGCAAAGAAAGTTAACAACTCAACCAAAAATGTTACAGCATGAGTAAAAGACATTATTAAGATTTGGGAAAATGCTCCGAAAACGTATAATAAATTTCTTATTTAAATACCTGCTCTTTTAAAGCAGAATTTGCAATAGTAAAGGAAGGTATTAGTAATATAGAGATCCTGCAGATGAGTATTGGAGCTCTCACAAATTAGAATTAAACTTAGTAAGAAGATGTTTGTATTATTAACTCAGACACCAATCTTACCCTGCCACCAATTTCCTCTTGAGGCGATGTGAGTGTCGTTTTCATTCGAATCGACATCTCCTCCATCTTTCTTGAACTGATGAAACAAAGAAAAGATAACTACACTGAACAATATTCTAAAGATTCGCGGATATTTTACACCGTACTTACAATATTCTTAGAATTGTTATTCTGGCTGGTCGGAGTATACATTTGTTGGCCGCCATAATATATGGAAGAGTTAAAGTAACACGGTTTGATATTTGTTCCGTTCTCATCAATTGAATTCCCGTCTTTCTTGAATTCTCCCCTGCTTTTCTGGACCATATAATCTGGGGAAAAAGAACAAAAACTTAATTATATTAGCTTCAGATAAATTATAAACAATATATCTTCAGCAAGCCTAGAAACTGCTTTACAACTGATGGAAAAAAACTGACTGTTAATCATCATGTCAAACCTGAAGTTCCCTGTTCAGGATCGAAATCTTTCTTTCTTGATGAAGCTATAGCATCGGAATGAGAGGGGTTTTTCCCGTGTACCTATTGATAAAAACTAAAAGAATTACTCCATATCTCTGTCAAGCAAGTTTAAAGAAAAATATCTCTGTCAAGCAAGATTACTAGGAAACTATATGTAACCACATGTAGGGTGACACGTGAAATATTTATCTTGTAAATGTAAGAGAAATCGTCAAATGTTAAATAAAACATGCAACAAATTAAGGCACGAACAAGAGAACAATACCGTGGGGGGTGGACCAAAAATAGATCCAAAGAGGGTAGTGGATGAGGATGAAGATTTTGGAGAGATTCGGGGACCAAAGAGATCATCCATAGTAACATACGAAGATGAACCACTCGCTGCTTGCTTTGTCTTCTCCATATATCCTTAATGTTATGCTTTCTCTATCAACCAACGACCAAAACTACCTCGGATATATTGATTGAGATTTAGATTGCCTTTCCTTGAACGACCTAACCGACACGGAAACAAAAATTCTTGAAATAGGATTGTGAGAGAGCACAAACTGAAGAAGGGATATATAGCGATTGAGCACGTGAAGTTATGAGTATACAATGAAATGAAATGGTCACTATTATTTATAGGCCCACCTCCCCATAAAGATTGTATTCGTCCATGTCCAATGCACAACTCCGGTTCCATAATTAAACATGCAAGAGTATTAAATGGGTGAAGTTGTCCTCTTCGAATTTGACTCAGCCTATCGTACTAGCCAACTTGCAAGATGTTCGCAGCTCTCAACTTTTCTATAGTAAAAATTGAATTCCACTTACAATTTATAAGCAAGCTCGCAAGCCAAGTTGACTCGTTCAATGGCCACCATCGAATACTACTCAGCCTACCGCGCGAGTCGAGCTGACTCTCAAAGTGTTTGCAGTCTTCAATTTTTTTATAGTGAAAATTAAGTTCACTAACAATTTATATCGCGAACCAACCAGCTCAAGAGAGAGGCTCACACGAATATTTTACTGCTCAATTCGAGCCCGCAACTCGACTCGTCCCACTTAACACCCTTAGCCTATATGATTTGTATTGCCGAGCTTAAAATATTTAGATGAATAATGCTATTTGTAAGCAGTCAATGTGACTGTGGGTGTGTTGTTATTTTTTTAAAGAAATTGAAATGTATTTTAGTTTATTGAAAAATGTGACAGTAATTCAATAATAGTAGAGTGCAGTTTATAAGCAACTTGAATCCATATATTCTGATTGATATTAATATTAATTAACTATTTCTCATTTAAAAAAGGAACAATCTATTAATGACAAAGTCGCCGAATATTAATTAAACAACGTTGTTCCTCCAAACTTTTCTACCACAGGGGATATCAATTAATTTTAGCCTCATCCTACATCTTCTTTGACCAAATATCTTTGTAGGGACGTACAATATTTATATGTTAGAGAGAATGGAACTTATCCAATTATCTGGAATTATCTTCTTGTGGGTCTCTCTCTCTCTCTCTCTCACACACACACACACACACACAACTTGGTTCATTCGGATAAGCACGTAAAAGGTTTTTTCTTTTTTGGTTGAAATGTCAAACAGTTAGGCAAATTTGGATAATGAAGAAGATGCCATGCATGCCATGAAGAAGATATTCGTTTTTTTTTTCTTCCGCATATTTCATTTGAAGATTCCCTTGTGGAGGGAATATTTGATTAGATTTGGCATGTGGGGGAAAAATATGAGAGTCATGGATTGAATTCTAAAGTAGGGAAAATTAGGCCATATACTCTAATTTTTAAGTGTTTTGATTAATACCC